GGGTTATAATCCCTTAGCGCGGCCGAAGGCCGCCTACGCAGATAGAAGTTCTGCGCAAAAATACTTCCGGTCCACTTTTCCGGCAACACAGAAAGGAGAGTTCTACTTAGTAAGGGTTATAATCTCTAAGCGCGGCCGGAGGCCGCCTACGCAGAAAGAACACTGAAAGGAGAATTTTACTTAGTAAGGGATATAATCCATAAGCGCGGCCGAAGGCCGACTACGCAGAGAGAAGTTCTGCCCAAAAATACTTCCGTCCCTCTTTTCCGGCAACACAGAAAGGAGGGTTCTACTTAGTAAGGGTTATAATCCCTAAGCGCGGCCGAAGGCCGCCTACGCAGATAGAAGTTCCGCGCAAAAATACTTCCGGTCTCCTTTTCCGGCAACACAGAAAGGAGAGTTCTACTTAGTAAGAGTTATAATCCCTAAGCGCGGCCGAAGGCCGCCTCCGGAGAAAGAAGTTCTACGCAAAAATACTTCCGGCCCCCTTTTCCGGCAACACAGAAAGGAGAATTCTACTTAGTAAGGGATATAATCCCTAAGCGCGGCCGAAGGCCTCCCAAGCAGAAATAAGTTCTGTGCAAAAATACTTCCTCTCCCCTTTTCCGGCAACACTGAAAGGAGAATTCTACTTAGTAAGGGTTATAATCCCTAAGCGCGCCCGAAGGCTGCCTACGCAGAAAGAAGTTCTGCGCAAAAATACTTCCGGTCCCCTTTTCCGGCAACGCAGAAAGGAGAGTTCTACTTAGTAAGGGTTATAATCCCTAAGCGCGGCCGAAGGCCGCCTACGCAGAAAGAAGTTCGGCGCAAAAATACTTCCGGCCCCCTTTTCCGCCAACATAGAAAGGAGAAAAGCCAGCAAAAAATCCGAAAGCCGATCCGAAAAAGGACAAAAAAGTGGATGAAGTGTGGATTTTTGTCCGTTTACTGATTCCATTTCCGTATACTTTGACGATCCGTTTTCCCACTAAAGTGTGCGGCAGAGACGTATGTACAGACAACAGTATGTGAAACGGATACGTTTTCGGCTGTTTTTTTCTGAAATTTCTCTGATAGAATTTTTCGTTCAATACGCTTTTCTTCTGCACTTCACAGATACTTTTTCATGGTTCAAAAGAAATAAAATAAAATTAGGAAGCGCCTGACGGAATTCGAACCCGGCACCTTCTGGAAGCTAACGAATAGCGGCACACTCCTCTGCAAGCTCAGCCACTGCCGACTACGAATGTATGCTTTCAAATGTTTAGCTTAAGCAAATAAAATACATTTATTGCTTTCAAATGACATCATCTTTTTCGAACGTTTTCCGGATACAAAAATCGATGATAAGTGTAGGAGTTTTTTGTATGCGTTTTCGGATACGGAAAATTGAAGTAAACTGCACTGTCGGCAAAATTTACGTTTCTTTGCTGGCTGGGTTTATTTCCCAATA